TATGTTAGTGGAACTATTGTTTTAATTCAAATGATTTTATTTACTCCAAGAATATTTTTTTTTTCAATTATTGTATATGTAAGTTGAGGTAGAGGGTGTCACATAAAGGAAACAACGTGGAGGCATCTACTGTCAAAACAAAAGTGAAGATCCGGATTGTCACCTCACAATCACAGGAAAAATAAATAGAGCAAATGGCATGGAACATCTACTCGAAGATGGAAGATCAAGTGTACAGTTTGCTACCCTTGTCACCTAACGAAATAGGCAATCCAACACTCAGCAATTCCAAAAGGCAAGGATATAGGTAAACCCACGTATTCGAAGGAAACGACATGGAAGCGTCAACCTAAAGAGATAGAGAAGACCCGAACAAAATTTCTATGTCTTTATATGCCTTTGGAAAAGCAATACCTAGCTATCCCAAATGACAAGTAAAAAGGGGAATCTGTAGACACCTAATTTTGTCCGGGCACAATGACAAGGAAATGGACATCAAGCATGAAGAAAAGGAGTCCTCAAAAGCCCATAAACGAGTTGTTCCAACGTTCTCAAAAGGCCTAGAAACCCTAGGGCAGAACGGGTCATTTCCAATCCAGTACGGGCCATTCTAACATAGGTTGTTATGAGTAAAGTTCAAATCTAGAACGGGTCGTTCTAACTCTAGAATGGGTCGTTCCATATTTGAATTTTACCTTTAACATAATAGTCCAAAATGGGCTATTATGAAATTGGAACGGGATGTTCTGGTCAGTTCTGACGTCTATAAATCGCCACGTCAAGCATTGTTCAGGGGACCGGAAAATTATCTAAGAAAGTCCCACAGAACTCGAAAATTTCTCTCCCTTTCTCTTCTTGTATTTCTTGAGATTTGTGAGGTTATTGTAGTGTGTAAGGTAGCCAAAAAGCACCTAAAAGTCTCCATACTTGAAGATCTAATAAAGCTCAAGCAAGAGGTATTTCAGTCAATATCTTTCTCCTTTCCCTACTTCATCATCTTTAATAAACATTGTTCTAAACTAGAGGAGTAATCATGTAGACCTCTTAGGATAAATCATGTAATTTAGAATTCACATATGTAAATAATCATTAATAAAGGGGAACCAATATTTAAAATGTTAATATTTATTATGCTAATTTCGTCATAGAATACCGATTTAGGACGTTGTAGGGGTGCTTAATACCTAGAGCCATCAAAGTAGGTCGGGACCCGTGGGCCAACCCGACCCACCTTGAAAACGGGCCGGGCCAAAAAAAATTGAAGTTTTATAGTAGGTGGGTATATCTCAACCCGACCCACCCGGGCTAAACTCGTGGTGGGCCGGGTAGCCCACCAACCCACCATTTTTTTTTGCAATAAAAATTTAAGTATGATTTGTAGTTAATTTTCTATGATGGGATATTAAAAAATTTTCGTTTAGACTTTTATCATGATTTGTATTTGATTTTGTATGATGAGTTATGACTTATGACTATTAATGATGCTAATTTTATGACTATTATGTTAATTTATAATTAAGTTAAAATTTTGAATTTTGTTGATAATTTTTTTTTAATTTTTGGTGGGCTGGTGGGCTGGCCCGTATAACCCACCAACCCGTGGTGGGCCAGACCAGGCCAAAACTTTTTTTTGAGAAAATCAAAAGTGGGCCGGGTTCGGTTGGCTCATTTTTAAAGTGGGTCAAGGTGGCTCGGCCCACATAGGCCGGGCTGGCCTATTTTGACAGCTCTATTAATACCTTCCCTACCCGTAACCGACCCCCGAACCCAATTTTGGTTATCAAGGAAAATATTGAATTTTCAAAAGTCTCTTCTTTTTCCAATATTTTGAGTAAAGCATTGGTGGCGACTCCAAGAACCTATTTTAAAAACCATAAATTAGGGATTAGTCTAGACTTCAGACATTCCTTGTTTAATGAGATGTGTCAAAATGATAGTGTAAATTATTGATCGTAAGATCAGAATTTTTCGGGTTGCAAAAATAGTTAACAAAGTAAAGTCAAATCATAAGCTAATTGTGGTTGAGATTGTTAATGCAATTAAGAACACATATGCTATTGGTATTAAAGCTTGTACAATTGAAAAAGCTAGATTTTTGGCTAGGAAAATTGTTGAGGGATAGTAAGCAATATGGTCTTTTGTGGTCATATAGTGTTGAACTAAGATGAGCTTTATTTGGAAATACTTGTAAGATAGAGTTGGATAGACTTGGGATAGATGTGCTACCAAGGTTCTAAAGATATTACATGTGCCTATGGGTGCAAAAAGGCTTTTGCATCTACATGTAGGCCCTTAATAGGAGTAGATGAGTGTCATCTAAAATAAATTTGGAGGAGTATTGTTGGTAGCATTTGGTAAAGACCCAAATAATTAGAGCTGTCAAAATGGGCTTGGCCCGGTGAGCCAACCCGGCCCACCACGGGTTCGAGCTGGGTTGGGTTGAAAAAAATTTGAAAATTTCAATACGGGTCAAATTTGAACTCGGCTCACTAACAACCCAGCTCACCCGGGTTGAACCCGTGGTGAGCCGGGCTAGCCCACCAACCCGTGATTAATTTTTTTTAAAAAAATACAATAATTATTGGGCCATAGTGCAGCCCAACATGAGACAATAATGATTTAATGTTGGATTGTGATTTGTAATTTTTATGATTTTGGATTATATTTGAAGTTTAAGATGATTTTGGATTATATTTGAAGTTTAAGATGATTTTGGATTATATTTATCTATTTGAGATTATTTAGATTTGATTTGATTGTATTTAAAATTATCATTTAATGTTTGGGATGAATGATTCATTTATGGATGTCTTAATTAAGAATCTCATATTTTTAAATAGCTTTAAATTTTTGGGCTTTAGTTGTATATTAAGAAAAAAAAATGAAAAAAATTATTTTTTTAAAGGTGTACCAACCCGTTTAACCCACCAACCCGTGGTGGGCCAGGCCGGGATAGATTTTTTTTAACTCACTGATAAATGAGTCGGGTTGGGTTGGCCCACCAAATGGTTAACTCGTGGTGGGCCAAGCCAGGCCGGGACGGGTAGCCCGTTTTGACAACTCTACAAATAATCAATATTTAACTTTGACATTTGTTGTTCTGGAAGTTGAGATGAAAGAAAACTGGAAACGGTTTTTAACTTTGTTATAAGAGGACACTAGAAATGCTACATGAAATAGATGGGGTTTTATATCTGAACAGTAAAAGGTAACTTGATTCTATGATTTTATTCTTTGAATATTTCAATTAATGAAAGGTAATTTGTGACAACTTGTGCAACATTTTTGTTTCATTTACAGGGACGTGTTCCAACTTTTGAGGAGATGCTTGGAGGAACTGAACATCGCTTGTGCCTGAGGCACTTATATAGTAATTTCAAGAAGAAATATGGGGGAGGTGTAGACACCAGATTTCATCTGGGTTACATTTACTAAGGTCAGAAGATCTTTGAAACAAGAAGAGAAGCCCTTGAGGGCCTAGTAAGGCAAAAAAATGGACCAAGATGAAGCCTAAATGGCTTAGAAGGCATATTCCACAAGAAACCCTAATCTAGGTGCAAAACAACCATTCCCAATCAAAAAATTAAAGTAAACCCTAGTTTTATCACGACCATTCCAATTAGGAATTTTATGTGTTTCTCTAAGGCACAGAACGGTCATTTTGGTGTTAGGAACAGTCGTTCCCCTTCCTTGGGTGCCTATATAAGCGTGCCCAAGGGCTCATTCTCCAACACTTCATACACACAGAGCAAATATCTGTTAGATTTAACTTTCTCTCTCCCTCTATAAATTTCTAAGTGGTTGTGAGGCTTTTTATAGAGCGAAAGGCTACCAAAATGAGCCATTATACACATTCTTGAAGATCCTTCTTTGGAGGTTTTAATTCTCTCTCTCTTCTTCCCATTTTTTTTCTTATTTTACTTGCTTTTACAACCCTATTCCCATGCAATGAGTTAAAAATCATGTAGATAATAAGTGTTTAAATGGCTAAGAATAAGGTTTTATCCATAACCCTATTTACATGCGATTAACAATTACGATGTATATCACATTCTATAAAAATGTAAATTATTGTATGATTAATGAAATAAAAAGGGTAAGGATTTAATTATAATTGTTATTATGCTAAATTTGTTATAGGGTACTTGGTTAGGACATCATAAGGTGCCTAATACCTTCCTCACTTGTAACCAACTCCCGAACCTAATTCTGGCTATAAAGGCCATAATTAATTTTTGGCAAAAATATTTTGTCCCTTATATTATTTATTAGATTCAATTTAGTCCTACTTTAATTAATTTAATCAATTTAGTCTCACATCTTTAAAATGTATCTCAATGTTTGATTTTATTTCTCCTCTGTTTAAATACATAACGGATATGCCACATGTTTTTTTATATTTTTTTTATCATTGTTATGCAGATGGATGAGTTTAAAGAAACGTGTAATTTGAATGAAAATGGTTTTATTGATTGTAACCGTAGTGAGGTTGAAAAATCAATTAATATAGATAGTCAAATTGAAAATTATGTTAATTATATAATGTGTTTATAGTCAATATTACAAATTAGTTATTAATTATTTTCAAAATAGATATATTTTCTTACCATTAAAATTAAATTACTAAAATTAAAGTTTAAACTTAAAATCATGTAGATACTATTTTAATATTTTATTACTAAATAAAATACTTCATTTCGATAATACTGTTATTAAAAACATGACGGGTTGTTCAAGAGAATAGTTTTCTTGAAAGGCATTTCCTTTGGTGCAAGTTTATTTTAGGGGGCACCAAAACCCTCTGTGAGTAGGACCACATAAAAGATGACATGTGGTTATTTTGTCAGAACTTGTATTTTTTAATAATGTTTTAATATTTTCTATTTAACCCTCATTAATTATATCCTTTTAAATAATAGTCCCCGATCTATTTAAATATGCTTTATCTTCTTTATTTCCCTTCCTGCCTTTTCATTTTCATTTTTCAATCTTCTCTCGTGCAACTTTGTGGCTCCGGTGCTCTCCCTACGAAAATCTCCATCAAAGTTCAATCTTCTCTCGTGATTCTTTTGAATCTTCTCTGTCGCGCATCTCTGGGTCGGTGCTCTCCCTACCAAAAGCTCCATCAAAGACGGTAAGTTTCCCTTGTAACCTCCGTTCCTATCGTTTTCATTTTCATTTTTTCTCTTCTCTCTGTCGCATCTTCTTGCAACCACCTCTGATTTTTTGTTGTTTTTTGTTTACGATGACCTCCCATTCTCTGTTCTTCGGTGCTCCAAAACCTACTCTCCCTACCAAAAGGTCCATCAAAGACGGTATCTTCACTGTGTACCCTCCCTTCCACATACGACATTTTGTTAGTCATTTTTTTTCTATTACTGTGTTTGCTTCATTTTTATCATCTTCATCTTCGAAATTAGGTTTGTTCTTCATTTTTATGAGGTTACTCTTCGAAAGGGGATTTATTTTGAAGTTTGTTATAAAGTATGAAATGCATGTTAATTTTATTAAAAGGTTTTATTTGTTTTGACTGAATAACAAGTACGTTTATAATATTGTGTATTTTTTTATATTTTTTTTATCATTGTTATGCAGATGGATGAGTTTAAAGAAACGTGTAATTTGAATGAAAATGGTTTTATTGATTGTAACCGTAGTGAGGTTGAAAAATCAATTAATATAGATAGTCAAATTGATGAAGAGGATAATTTACAAGATGAAGGTGATGAAGATGTATACAAAAGTTATCTTGATCTGATTGCAGATGATATTTTTGGATTGGAGTTTGCAAGTGAAAATGTTGCTTAAAAATTTTATTTCACTTATGCTAAGTGTCATGGTTTTGGGATCAGAAAAGATGAGGTAGGTTATGATGATAAGCACAATATTTTGATGCGACAATATTTATGCAACAAAGCTGGATTAAGAGACAAAAAACATTTCATGAGAGATGATAGGAAAAAAGAACATAGATCACTATCTCGTACATATTGTAAAGCAAAGTTACGTGTGCGTTTGGATCGTCAAACCTCTAAATTTAAGGTTGTTTCATTTGAGGAAGGTCATAATCATAATTTATGTGGTTCTAATTTTGTGCAATTAATCCGTACGTACCGTGGTTTGACTTTTGCAAACAAAGTTCAGGTTGATTTATTACATGCCCAAGGTGTTAGGACATGCCATATAATGGGTTTTATGTTGGACCAAACAGGTGGGCATATCGGCCTTAACTTTAACAAAAAAGATTTGTTCAATCATATTGAGCGTAGTAAGCGTTTTAAGATCAAAGATGGAGATGTAGTGGCTGCTTTGAGTTATCTTCAAGGCAAGGCAAATAATGATCCACTATTTTTTTCAAGGTACATGATATCATCTGAGGGTCAGTTGAAACACCTATTTTGGGCTGATGGTACGAGCAGAAGTGATTTTCAATGTTTTGGTGATGTACTTGCTTTTGATAGTACATATAAGAAGAATAAGTATAACAAGCCATTGGTGATTTTTTCTGGTAAAAAACACCATGCTCAAATTGTTATATTTGGTTGTGCTATTGTTTTTGATGAAAGTATCGAGGCATATAGGTGGGTGTTGGAATCCTTTCTGAATGCAATGTCAAATAAGCAGGTATTTCCAGAAGCAACACACAGGCTTTGTTCATGGCATTTGCAAAAAAATGTCTGTCAGAATGTTAAGAATAATAATTTTTGGAAGGATTTCAAAAGAGTAATGTACGATAATTATACCCCTGAAAAGTTTGAAAGATTATGGAATGAGTTAGTAGAAAGACATGAACTACAAGACAATAATTGGGTTCAGCAAACTTACCAAAAACGGTTTATGTAGGCTACTGTTTATTTACGTGACAAATTTTTTGCGGGTATAAGGACTACTTCTTTATGTGAAGGTATAAATTCATGCATAAAGTCTTATTTGAAGAGAAAAAATACTATAGTTGAGTTGTTGTACAATTTTGAGCATTCTTTAAGAGATTATAGGTATAATGAGTTGTTGTCTGATTTCAATTCTTTTTATACAGAACCTGTTTTATCCATGTCTTCGCCCTTAATTGAAAAAGAAGCCTAAAAAATATATACCAGTGATGTGTTTAAATTGGTAAAGGTTGAGATTGTTACTGCTGGATCTTTGAATGTTATTGATACAAATGACAATGGTGATAAGGTTACTTTCACAGTTGACAATTATAAGCATCGTCAATCTTTACAGAATGTTGTTTTTGACAAAGATGAGTGCAAATATGAATGTGGTTGTATGATGTTTGAATCTTGTGGCATTCCTTGTAGTCATATTATATGTGTTATGCGATATCAACATGTTCATGTGTTTCCTCCAAGTTTAATATGCAATCGATGGTTGAAGGATGCTAAAAATTCAGTTTATGTCTTATGAGGCAGGGGATAATTCCCCATAGCTTATTTCAGTGAAAAACTTCATGGGGCTGCCTTGAACTACCCTACCTATGACAAAGAGTTATATGCTTTAGTTCGTGCCCTTCAAACTTGGGAACATTACCTTGTCACCAAGGAATTTGTTATCCATAGTGATCATGAATCACTTAAATACTTGAAGGGTCAACATAAATTAAATAAGAGACATGCAAAATGGGTTGAGTACCTTGAGCAATTTCCTTATGTCATCAAATATAAAGAGGGATCTACAAATGTAGTAGCTGATGCTTTGTCTAGAAGACATGTTTTATTGAATATCCTAGGTTTTCAAATACTAGGGTTTGATGACATCAAGGAGTTGTATGCGAAAGACCTTGATTTTGCTAACTTTTATTCTTTATGTATTCAAAAACCTTATCAAGGGTACTATATTTCTGAGGGGTATCTTTTTAAAGAAAACAAACTTTGTATACCCCAAGGATCTATTAGGAAACTCTTGGTCAAGGAGAGCCATGAGGGTGGGCTCATGGGGCATTTTGGAATTGAGAAAACTCTTTCACTTTTGAGAGAGAAATTCTTTTACTATCATTTTTATTAATTTTTTATATATATAAATCTATTATTTTTATACAAATTAATTCTTATATTCATTTTATACTACTTTTTTTTTATTGAAATTCAATACAAATGTAAAATAACTTTTAAATTATAATAAAATTTCATAAATTAATAATTTTATTATAATATTTATGTGTGTATATATATAAATTTTAAATAATTGTATGATCTTATGTATTAATCAATTGATTATAATGTAATAAAATATATTATTTAATTATTTATATTAATTAAAATTATTTATTTTAAAAATATATATAAAAAATAAATAAATCAGAACATAGGACTAGGGATCTAAGGCAATGTTCTCAATTGTCTTGCCTTAGTCACACCCTCTTTTCATATAAAAGTGCTTCTTAATAAAATAAGGCATTTTTATTTTGATATGTTTTCTCATATGTTTTTAAATAAGTAATTTTCTAATTTTTTTTTAAAGGAACAACTCTTATCTATTTTTAAAAAAATCATTTTTTTTAAAACACTTTTTTTAAAAATACTTATTTTTAAGTTAAACACACTCACAATTTTCTTAGTTATGTTATATTCATAATTAGAATTTTGATTTGAATTTAAAAAATTATGTTAATTATATAATGTGTTTATAGTCAATATTACAAATTAGTTATTAATTATTTTCAAAATAGATATATTTTCTTACCATTAAAATTAAATTACTAAAATTAAAGTTTAAACTTAAAATCATGTAGATACTATTTTAATATTTTATTACTAAATAAAATACTTCATTTCGATAATACTGTTATTAAAAACATGACGGGTTGTTCAAGAGAATAGTTTTCTTGAAAGGCATTTCCTTTGGTGCAAGTTTATTTTAGGGGGCACCAAAACCCTCTGTGAGTAGGACCACATAAAAGATGACATGTGGTTATTTTGTCAGAACTTGTATTTTTTAATAATGTTTTAATATTTTCTATTTAACCCTCATTAATTATATCCTTTTAAATAATAGTCCCCGATCTATTTAAATATGCTTTATCTTCTTTATTTCCCTTCCTGCCTTTTCATTTTCATTTTTCAATCTTCTCTCGTGCAACTTTGTGGCTCCGGTGCTCTCCCTACGAAAATCTCCATCAAAGTTCAATCTTCTCTCGTGATTCTTTTGAATCTTCTCTGTCGCGCATCTCTGGGTCGGTGCTCTCCCTACCAAAAGCTCCATCAAAGACGGTAAGTTTCCCTTGTAACCTCCGTTCCTATCGTTTTCATTTTCATTTTTTCTCTTCTCTCTGTCGCATCTTCTTGCAACCACCTCTGATTTTTTGTTGTTTTTTGTTTACGATGACCTCCCATTCTCTGTTCTTCGGTGCTCCAAAACCTACTCTCCCTACCAAAAGGTCCATCAAAGACGGTATCTTCACTGTGTACCCTCCCTTCCACATACGACATTTTGTTAGTCATTTTTTTTCTATTACTGTGTTTGCTTCATTTTTATCATCTTCATCTTCGAAATTAGGTTTGTTCTTCATTTTTATGAGGTTACTCTTCGAAAGGGGATTTATTTTGAAGTTTGTTATAAAGTATGAAATGCATGTTAATTTTATTAAAAGGTTTTATTTGTTTTGACTGAATAACAAGTACGTTTATAATATTGTGTATTTTTTTATATTTTTTTTATCATTGTTATGCAGATGGATGAGTTTAAAGAAACGTGTAATTTGAATGAAAATGGTTTTATTGATTGTAACCGTAGTGAGGTTGAAAAATCAATTAATATAGATAGTCAAATTGATGAAGAGGATAATTTACAAGATGAAGGTGATGAAGATGTATACAAAAGTTATCTTGATCTGATTGCAGATGATATTTTTGGATTGGAGTTTGCAAGTGAAAATGTTGCTTAAAAATTTTATTTCACTTATGCTAAGTGTCATGGTTTTGGGATCAGAAAAGATGAGGTAGGTTATGATGATAAGCACAATATTTTGATGCGACAATATTTATGCAACAAAGCTGGATTAAGAGACAAAAAACATTTCATGAGAGATGATAGGAAAAAAGAACATAGATCACTATCTCGTACATATTGTAAAGCAAAGTTACGTGTGCGTTTGGATCGTCAAACCTCTAAATTTAAGGTTGTTTCATTTGAGGAAGGTCATAATCATAATTTATGTGGTTCTAATTTTGTGCAATTAATCCGTACGTACCGTGGTTTGACTTTTGCAAACGTCTTATTTCTGACCCGGACAATTTTAGGGGTCTACACATGTTATCATGCCACATGGCTGGATAGCATGACACGTGGTATGATGACATGACAACATGACACGTGTTATGACAATATGACACGTGGCATGACACGTGTCAAATCTGTTAAGTATTTAAACAGAGGAAACGAAAAATCAAACATTGAGATACATTTAAAAGATGTGGGACTAAATTGATTCAATTAATTAAAGTGGGACTAAATTGACACTAATAAATAATATAGGACAAAAAATGTATTTTTGCCTTAATTTTTTTTAAAAAAAACCTTTTTGCTTTTTTTTTTTTGATATTTTGAGTAAACTATTGGTCGTGATTCCTTTGAACCTTTTCAAAAACCATCGGTGAAGGTTTAGTTTTATTTTTAGGCATTTCAAAGCCGATGAGATTTTCAAAACGAAGTCCAAATCATTTGTGGGTAAGATCAGAATTTTTCGGGTTCTAATAGGAGGAACACTTATCAAGGAGCTAATGATGGGGGCAGCAATGATGGAAATCTAATCCCCAAGGATCCCTTTGAAAGAGGTAAGACCAAGAAGGGTGAAGGGTGATCCATAGGAGAGCTCACACTTGAAGTTATTGGGTCTTTAACTAGGCTAGAGGAGACTTCTATAGAGGAGGTGCTTCTTAGATATATGCTCAATATGAGCATTGGGTATGATTCTGCTTTTTAATTTCATAGTCTCTATTGTACATACATTGTATAGTTTTATTTCTTGTACCTTGTATATAGTAGATACTTGTATAGGTGTATTTTGTCTTTGTATTTGTAAGGCACCTTTTCCTTTTCTTATAGGTCATCCCTTTAGGATTTTAGGGTATGTTGTTTGAGGACTTTTGCTCCATTTGACCTTGTATTAAGGGTCACTGATTTTCATATTTTTAGTAATAAAAGTGGGGTGACAAATAGTAAAGTGTGTAGGTGAAGCTAGCAATTGGGTCTATAATGGGCCTAGGCTAATTTTTACATATTGGACTTGTTTTGCTCTATTTAATCTAAAGAATTGATTTAGCTAGGTCTCACCCTCATTAGGTGAACCTAATTAAACCAATTTCCAACATATTTGGATTAGATTAAGTGAAGGAATACAAGCTTGATCACCTAGCTCTTCTAGCTTCTCCCACACAGTTGGTTAGCTTGTGCTACAAGTTTCTAGCTTAGCTTGCTCCACAAGTTTCAAAGCTTAGCTTGTTCCATAAGCTTCCAACACTACAAAAAAAAGTCAATTTAGCTACCGAATTTAGCGACCGATTTTTTCTGTTGCTAATAGTGACATAATTAGCTACCAAATCTAATTTGGTTGCATTTTTTATTTAGGGACCGAATTAGTGACCGAATATTTTTAGTAGCAATTTATCGGTCGCTATTCAATTTGTAAATTACATATCCTTTAGCGATCGAAAAGCTACAAAATTGTCTGCAAATTTGCAATTGAATTGGTTTCAGTGGTTAAAGTAGCGACGAAAAACTTTTGGTCGCTAAAAACAATACAAAAATATTTTTTATAATAATGGTAGTGACCAAATGAAAATTGGTCGCTAAATGTAAACTTTTAAAAAAATTAAGAATATACTTTTTAAAAAAGAAAATATAAAAATATATAATATTATTTTTATAATGATAAGAAATAAAAATCATGACCCTCCTAATAAAATTATTTTATTTTTTAAAATAATACATATTATATAATTTAAAATAGATAATATATCATAATATATTGAAAAATGAGAAACATAATGCTAGAAAAGAAATTTAAATAATAATTTTTTAATTGAATCTTTTAAAAAAACTTGGACTAATTTGAATAATAATTTATCTATCAAATTTATTTATTTTTCTCTTGAGAAATTTATTTCTCTTTCATCATACTTAATATTTTATTTTATTAGATAATATGAAAATACACAATTTATTGTGTTTTTCAATTTTGTTAAGGTAAAAAAACTTCTTTTTTGTAAATCTTATTTTATTTCAATTATTGTTTTAAAAATTAGACTTAAACATCTAGTTCAGTTGATATAAACATGTTAATTCCATTAACTTAAACATAATTGGTTTATATAAGGATTAATAAGAATTTATAAAACAAATCTAAAATTGATAAAAAAAAAATAGATGTTTTTTAAAAACAATTATTATGTTAACTTAACAATAACCATCATAAAATTTTGAAATGTATTTTTTATTTAATTATTCATAAAAAATAATTTTAAATTAAGCATTCACCAAAAAAGATACTTTTAATTAAAATATAT